GCATCTTCTTCGAGCGCCTGCCACAGCCTTACCACCAGACGCGGGTCGACATAACTAGCCCCCCCTCGGAACTCCTCTCTACCAACCTCCTGCAGTACGCCGGTCCGCCTGCTCGCACCTTACCGTCGTCGTCTTCACGATGGCCGCTTTTCGGCCGGTTAACACGCTGCTCGCTGCAGCTGCTGCCCAGAATGAAGACGAAATGACGACATCTCCTCTCACCCCCCGGCCAAACACAGCGCCGCACGCCCAACAGCGACCTGACACGATTCCCGAAGATGCAGCAACGCCCACGAGGGCTTCTTTCGCCGGGAACGCTCTGGCTTCACAGAAACCCCTCCCTTCGTCGCCCTTCCCCGATGCCGTGCAGATCCCCGAGTCGGCTGATGGTAGCGTGCCGACGCGAGAAAACTCTCGACACTCGAGAAAGTCTCGAGATTCGGAAGACGTCGACATGGACGATTCGGATGGCGACACAGCGGCTGGCGACGAAGGCGTTTCCGACGATGACAGCGTCAACGGAGACGGGTCCAGGTCTGGGAAGAAGAAGAAGTCACAAAGATTCTACTGTACCGATTACCCGCCCTGCAACCTGAGCTTCACGCGCAGCGAGCACTTGGCCCGACACATCAGGTATGCCGTCGATCGATCCTCTGTCCTAGTGAAACCGCCCTCAGGCTAATCATCTGATGCAGGAAACATACTGGTGAGAGACCATTCCAGTGCCACTGCTCGAGGCGTTTCTCCCGGCTGGACAACCTTCGGCAGCACGCTCAGACTGTTCACGTCAACGAGGATATTCCCATGGATTCGCTTGCGGCAACGGGCGCCCGGTTTCAAAGGCAGATTCGTACCGACAGGGTGCGACAGGCGGCGGGTCGATCGCGGGCGTCAACTGCGGGGAGCGGCGGTGGCCCTGTGCGAGGTCACTCCAAATCGCTGTCCACGTCGAGCATCGGAAGTGTGGGCTCCGTCGGTCCGGCTTTTGCCTCTACGCAAGACATCCGCCGACGACCTCCCCCCCTGGTCATGGCCGATCCCCGTGCGAGGTCATCTCTCGAAGGCTATCGGGCTGCTGATGGGGCCTATGGATACCGCCCGGCTTCGCCACAGATTTGGCACGCAACCTCGGCTACCTTTTCGACGGGCCAGAGCAGCCCTCGCTGGAATTAGATCATGGCATCACCGGCGACCTCGCACTCGAGATCCCACAGCATGTACTCGTCCGGGGCTCGAACGGCCGCCCGACGAATGAGCGTCCCGTCTGGTGTCAACCCCTTTCAATCCCCTCACGGCCCACCCGTGAGCCGGGTGATTTTCGCGCCAAATGCCGTAAACAACCCGAATGTGGCTCCTTTCTCGCTGCCGGCAGCAGTATCCTCGGCTCACCTCCCACGCGTCATCTGCCTGGTCTGGCCGACGGGACTCGACATCCTCGGCTGCCGACGAGGCCTGGAGACGGCGCACCTGGCACCCCGAAAGCCGTGGCTTCCAACCCAACTCTAGCAGCCATCTGAGCAACGTTGTGACGCCAGGCCAGTTCCAGCCGGGCCCACCGCTTCCTGCTGCGAACGTGATGAACCCGCAGCAGACAGTTCGTCTGCCTGGTATTGAATCCTTCGACCCCTTGCTTCCGCGTCCCGCGACACCTCCCCGCCGGAACCCTTCACCCATGATGATTGACGCAGAGCCGAAGGGCCAACCTACGCATGTGGGCGCTGACGATCGCCGCAACTGGGATATGGGTCTGCATCGCGGGTTGACGAGACTTGACCTGCGATCCAACAACGTCACGCCCCCACACGACAGCGCCGGAGCTTGGGCTAATGAGGTCAATCAAGCCGTCCAGGCTCAGGCCGAGCAAGTGAGGGTGAACCCGCCGACTGTCAGATTCGAACTCGGCACGCCACCTACGCATCCCAACACGGCACCTTTCAACAGAACCCACCACCAGTACACCATGTCTGCGCCCATGGTATCGACACCACGCGATTCGAAACGACACGGTTGGTATCATGGCCCGCTTGCCCAACAAGCTCAAGGCGAACTTGTCAGGGGCCCGCGTGTGGACCGCATGGAGCATCCCAACATGACAGCTTTCTCTGGTTTCCCCGGCAGGGAACCTCCGCGGGAACCTCCAAGCCAGCCCCAGCCGCACTCCCAGCAACCTGGCGGCGACCGCACCGCCGAGAACTCTTCCCGATTTGACGCTCTTGTGGCTGTTGCCGCCAGCGAAGGCTCGACGGCTACTGCCTACTGACGCCAGATGGGCCAGAACCGGCCTCCAGCGATCTGACCTTCCGGCGGGGTTTATTCAACCCCGGAACCCCATCACAACGAATACTCTCATACATATTCTTACGACTTACGACTTACACTGCTGGTGGCCAAGGGTGTGGTGCGCAGCTCGAGGTTCGCAGCGCGACTCTGATGATTTAACGATATCCTGAATTTGATTCTGATCGATGCTCTTCTTTTCCTTCTGGTCTTGGTCGGCTTCAGCGTTTGTTTTCTGCTCTTGTTATCTGCTCTTGTTATCTGCTCCTTTTTTTGTTTTCTATGCGGCATCTCAACTCTAGTGTTGGTGCGCAGTCTCTTGAGTCTGAGCCGACCGTCACCCGGCTCGTGCCAATCGCCTGTCACGGACTGCTCTCTCGTCTCGGCTTCCTCTTTTTCTATGTAGGCGACATGGATTATCGGTAGGGACTTGATTTTGGGTCATGGTGGCCCCTCTTTCTTTTCACACCTTAGATGGTTTCTTGTTTTCTTTCGTGGATTTTGATTCCCCGTTATGGTTATACGACGAACGAGATACCCACTCATTCTGGAGAAGGCTACGCAGGGAAGCTAGGCTAATGTGATACCCGCCCTGCGCGTGGACGTAGACCCATTTGCGCGTCTCCGTTTGCCGACGCTCGCTGGGCGAGGATATGAATGGAACAGGGAAGGGGGTTCTGGGAACGGACGCGACGTGGAGATCATTACTGGCCTGATACCCTGAGCGATTCGCCTCCACTCATCTTCCTTGGTATTATGGACGGCCTGGCAACGTAGGCTTGTTGTATATCTGGGTGGTTACTAGACCTCATGGGCAGGCACATTTGCGTACAAGTTGGAGCAATGCAGACTCGAATGTTCGATATTGGTCTTGATCGTAGCTGGCGCGGATTTGACGTTTGGCCTTGGTGATCGTATGGTGTAAGTCTTGTCTCAGTTGGCGGAAGACCCTCTGCATAATGTCGTCTTCTTCGCCTCGGGATCGCGTAACTTGCTCATAAATGGAGAATCCCCAGGAACCCATTCAAAGGCTTCGAAATGGGTAAAGTCACCACAGGGGTGCATTGTTTCTTCCCCATTATTGAGATAGCTACAAAGAGCTGACATGACGTGAAGTGCCGTGTTTCTGGTTCCCAGGAATACACACGCCTAGTGTAGCGCACCACTGCCATGCAAAAGAGGTACGGTGGCCCCGCGAGGCCCCGCGTGGGTCGACGGCCTCATGAAGCCACGATGCCATCACTTTCCAGCCCACTTGCTGCTATGTTAACGCATCTCTCGGCGCTGATTAAGAGGGCGACTAAGCGTGCCAAAGATCTTTGATTGAGGCCCTATGCCTGAGTGAAGCCCACAAACCTGAATTCGGAAGTTGCGAAACTCCTCCCTCACAATAACGCACTTCATCACCAACAACGACTGTAAGTTGCACTTCACCCAGATAGCCTGAGGCCCAGCAATATGCTCTGACGTGATGGAAGAGCCTTTTTCGAGTGAATGACCTTTTTGCAGCTCTGGCTAGATGCCATGGATGACTGCTGACCACGTCGCTAGGGTAGTGCCTCCCTCCTTAACTCTACCAGTAAGTCCTTCCGCTGATTCTCACCACCAAAGCAGCCTTGCGCTTGCTCGTGACTCGATTCAAGATCACGGGCTCATTTAACGCCTTGAAAGCTTCAAAATGCTAATAAAGTGTCACTCCAGCATCATCACCATCATCATCTTCTTCACCACCTCCCGCCCGCCCTTCCCTCCTCTCCTTGTTTCAGGTTAGTTCATGAGCTCTTCCTTGCTGTTTGATCCATGCGTATTCTTTCAAAGGGTGAAAATACCAATGTACTACGTAATCGTTATGATACATGGACGAAGGACGAAGCGAACCGGACGACCTGGACCGGATGGCCTGCACCTGACACTTGTCGAGCAACAGCTCGGGCGCTGTGTGGACTGATCATATAGACTAGCAGCCGCTGGAGGAGTATCAGGTCGCTCAGAATAATATGCTGACCTCAATTCCTATAGCTACTATCATGACGCACTTCATGGCCACTCTTGGCCTCGAGGAGCTCTCCTCCAAGGCCACCGACGATACTACCAACATCGATAATCACCCCGACTGGCATAAGCACTACAAAACCGACGAGCAGGATGGAGATCACTGCTTATCCTGCCATGAGCTGCTCAGAGAGAAGGCCCGTCATTGCAAACGCTGCGGCTCGGCCTATTGCAACACTTCTTGTTCGAAAAAGGTATCCAAGATTCATCGCAAGCTTTGCCGCCCGTATACAACTCTTGCGAGCCAGACGAGGCCTTCAACGGACCGCTACATGGCGCTTCTCTTCCCAGCCTACAGGTCGACTCCTGAGATGATCTGGGTCAGAATGAACGAGACATCGATAAGCGTTGACCTGGGCCACCCAGAGCTTGCTCAGCTGTCGGTGGAATGCAGTCCTGATCCCTGGGGTGGCGCCTCTGCGACTCTCTGCAACGACCTGCCCTACATGCAGGACACCAAGCTCGGCCACGCTCTCACTCTCATCTCACCTGTAGGCGAAACAACGGAGGGCCTCGCGGACAAGTGGCTCAACAGGAGCGTACGGCGGTTCGCTCCTCCCCACCACCTCTACCGTTGGCACGGTCCCTTGATCTTCGTAAGCTGGCATGTCGACGAAGACGCCCAGTTCCAGAAGCTTTGCGACGTCTCGATGCGGGACTATCACCACGCTATCAAAGTCTTACTTGGATGGCATGCAAATCCTTGTGTTCTGAACCCTTCTCGGTTTGGCCCAGCCAGAGCCCATACCAACGTCAACGCCCAGAAGCCACAGACAGGTCAGAAAACCAAGTCCATGAAGAAGAGGGAGCAGAGAAAGAAGGCTCAAGCCCGGAGGAAGCTCGAAGCTGCTCAAGCCACTGAGGCAAAGGCCTTGGCTGCGGAGAAAGATGCTTACCTCCTCGCTGCGACTCGTGTCCCTCTACCCGAGAGCCCTGTGTTAGAAGCTTTCCAGGACGATACTGTCGCCCCTGAGGATGAGGAAGAGCACAGCGATTGGTCAGTCACTCTTGATGCTGACTCTGAGGTGGAAATCATGGTCCAAGACGGCGAAGCTCCTCAAGACATGAGCAAGACGAGGCCAGCCAGCTCCGAGCTTGGCACACAGATTCCCCACCCCGAGCCCGACTTGCATGATGATTCACAGCTCTTGCTTCCAGAGAAGCAAGATCACGACGACTCTGGGGTTCATGGGACGGAGCCCTGCATTCACGAAGATGGCAGGAACAACAAAGGCGCTCGGACGGAAGCTCACAACTGCTCAGACGAAGAACGCGATGATGCCGGTCATCCCGAGCCCGAGTTCGTCTGCGGTGACGAGACCAACACCTCTTCCCCAGGGGAGGTTTCATCGCACATTGGTCATGAACAGCCCGGCCCTCATACAGAAGATGAGGTCCACGAGGTACCTTCGCAGGCACCGGCACCAAGGGAACCCAACAAGACACGTCAGGCCAGTACCATCGATACGCCCGGCTATACTATGTCGGAGGAATCCAGCTTCAGCTCCACCATAGCGGACGACGACGACGATGATGATGACGGGATCGAGCCGAGCACCAGACGACAGCAGAAAGGGCCGAAAGACACGAAGGACGCTCAGCTTCATGAGTCTATGATGCTTTTCGAAAAAGGAGCAATGAGGAGGTTCGATGAACTTACCGAATTGGTGAAAGATCTTTCGAGGAAGGTTGATGTTCTTCAAAAAGGTCCTGCTAAAGAGGCCTCACCGGACGGGGCGAGCGAGCCGCCGGACGAGCCTGCCAAGCTCCTGCCAGCCTAGCAGGTTGGTGTGACAGAGACAGAGCAAGCGTCGGAAAGAGGCTCCGAAAGTACGGCACCAAAGGAAGACACAGGAAATAAGGGGATGTCTACTACCTCCACTTTCGCTGGTGAGTCGTCCGATGCTGTCTCGGACGAAAAATGGAAGACCGATCTTTCTTTACCCGAGAATACGAATGAGCAAGCCATGGAGCAAGCTCAATCAAACTCGCAAGTCTGGGAGACGGTCGTTCGCAGGAAGAAAAGGGCGCCAGCGAAGACCAAACCAGCAATCGAGAACAGCAAGGTTCGCGCTCCTTTGAGAACCTGGTCAAAACCTGCACCAAAGGTTGATCAGACGAAGACCATCAGTGCTTCAAAAACCGTGTTCAAGGGGCCTTTGAAGACATCATATTCCATGCCTCGCTCCCAGGGAGCAGCAACGACGGGCGGCGGGAGCCATGGACGAATCTCTAAGAAGGGCTCAAAGGAGGAGGCGCCAAAGAAACCTGAGCAGCAACAGGAGCCTGAACAGCCAAAGGGGACCAAGGAAGCGAAGAATTCTTCCGAGACCACTCAGGACGACGTTGCTGTCGAGAAGGTGGTGCCAACGCAACCTGAGTCGAGACCTGCGAGCAAGCAGAGCTCCCGGCCTACAAGCTCTCAAGTTGATCCCGACAAGAGCTGCACTCCAACTGCTGAGTTTGTGCAACGTCCTCAGGCCATGTCTTGGGCTGAAGAAGTAGAAGTATCCATTCAGCAGCATGTCACTCAACGCAGCACTTCTCCAGAGAACGAGCTGCCTGGCGCGGACCCCATGATCGACTCCAAGAGTTGTACGGAGGATGTCGACTCGATTCCCTCAGCGGCCGACGAGAACCCTATCCATGATGGCAGCGTGGTTGAGGCCCCTGATGCACCGATTCAAGAAGCCCCTGAGCATGTCGACTCATCTTCCTCGACGGCCGACGAGGACCCTACCCAGGACGACGACAGCGCGGCTGAGGCCCCTGTTGAACCGAATCAAGAAACCGCTGAGAATGACGAATCATCTTCCTCGTCGGCTGGCGAAAACCCTACCCAGAACGACGACAGCGCGGCTGAGGCCCCTGTTGAACCGAATCAAGAAACCGCTGAGCACGCAAATCCGGGTAGTCAACCAGTGCAGGCTGTGTCTCGATCTACACCAAATTCAACACAGCTCAACGTAGACGACTCTACGGCTGAAACCTTGGATGGTGCTCAACAAAACATTACAGACGAAGTTAGAAACTCTGCGGAGTCTCTATTCCACAGCCCTGACGCTCGTGCCCGAGTACGACTTCCGCCAGCGGCAGAGCCTCAGCAGACGCTTCTCGATGAGCCCCAGGAGCCCCAGGAGCCTCAGGAGCTCGCCGGTCCACAGTCTCAAGATGTAGACGTGCCCTCCGAGCAGCCGGCCGTTCCTCCTCACACCAGTGCGGCGAAGAATCCTCAGTGCCCTCAAAACGGACAACAGCAGTGCGTGCAGCAACAGGAACCGTCTACTCAGCAGTTGTCTCAGCGGTCAATTGCTCAGCAGAAGTATGAACAAGGCCATCGCCAGGGCCCTCGACAGTACACCCGAACGTACCCGCAGCCATACCCACGGCCGTACCCCCAGCCATATGCTCAGCAGCACGTTCAACAGCAGAACCAAAGCCAGCAACAGCACCATCCACAGCACGTTCAGCAGCAGAACCAAGGCCAGCAACAGTACCATCCACAGCACGTTCAGCAGCAGAACCAAGGCCAGCAACAGTACCATCCACAGCACGTTCAGCAGCAGAACCAAGGCCAGCAACAGTACCATCCACAGCACGTTCAGCAGAACCAAGGCCAGCAACAGTACCATCCACAGCACGTTCAGCAGAACCAAGGCCAGCAACAGTACCATCCACAGCACGTTCAGCAGAACCAAGGCCAGCAACAGTACCATCCACAGCACGTTCAGCTGCAGACCTTTTGTCTGCAACAATATCCATATCCGAATGGTCAACAGTACGCTGGAACCTACCAAGGAGCTCCTCAAGCATACCAACAGTGGCAACAAGGTCCTCAGCAACTCCAACAGTGGGTCACTCCGCAGTATTCGACACCATTGTCGACGCCAGCAGATCCCACAACATGGGACCAGCCTGAGCCGGACCATTACAATTACTCGAGTGGTCCTGTCCTGTACCCGGATTACACGTATCCACAACCGCCGCAGTCGCCGTATACACATACTATCCCTCCCGTGCATGACCACGCGGGTGGCCGAGGCCAAGTCTCGTCTCGGCACGTGACAGGTCGAGGTAGGGGCTTCAACCACCGAGGCGGACTCCATCGAGGACGAGGTCGTGGCCATGGGGTTGTGGCAACACACCCAGAGGCAACACACCCAGAGGCAACACACCCAGAGGCAACACACCCAGAGGCAACACACCCAGAGGCAACACACCCAGAGGCAACACACACCCAGAGTGCATCTCCGAACACGAACAACGCCACGAACGAGGTCACAACTGAGACGGCTGTCCAACCTATCAGCGAGGATGCCCAAGAAACGGCTGGTAGCATTGTCGACGATACGACAGACGAGGCTACCGTCCAAGACAATGAGGCGTTTTACAACAGATCGGTCAGTGTGGAAAGCCTGCCACTTTACCTGAAGAGCGAGAGTGACGAGGAAGATGAAGGGGAGGTGACGTACAAAACGAGAACATTGAGTGTATAGGCTGGTCTGACAAGGTAGAGGAAGGGTTGGGTCAGGATAGAGCCATGCATGACTAGAGGCAGGTCGAAGCGTTTGGGAAGAGATCCAGGATCAGTTGGTAGACATCAGCGACATGAGCGATTGGGATACTGTCTACAGATAGCGCAGTCAGTCTTTGGCTAATATAATTCGTGTCGCCAGTTGTAAGCTTGCGTAAGGTCTGATGTCTTTCTCCGTGCATTGTCGTGCCTTGGCCGACGTACCTTTCTGTAATCTGCATTGTGCTTTCTCCTGCCTCGGGTCCGCAAGGCTGCCATTCACTCGTAGGCAGTCAACTATTGATAGTTGAGAGTTAGAAACGCGGTATCGTTCGTGCTCCTTCCTCCACGAATAATCCTCACCACCTGCCTTCGCAAAGTCAAGTTGCCTCCAGCAAGACTACCTTACGCATCACATGACGACTCTACCTTGGGTTGTCGCGATAGAAGTAAATCCCAATCGAAGAAACGACCAAGCATCCCAAGTACGCCGCTTATTCAACGCAATGTTGCGCCACCGCGGTCAAGACATCCAGCGTCTGCGCCTCCGCCAGCACCTCGGCTCTCCCAAGACAGCTCGCAACCACAGACATGCCCTGCGCAACCCTACTGTACGTCGCTCCCCGGCCAGACATCGTTCCCGCATCAGCGGCCTAACTCGCGTGCGTGCAGCGTCCCAAGGTGTTCCCCTACCGGATCGCCTTCTCCCTGCCGTCCTCGGGCATCGTCATGCGCGACGGGGATTCCGCGCCCGGCGAGCTCGACCTCGAGGCCTCGCTTCACAAGTTCCACATCGACACGGCCGGCGCACCGCCCGCCATGACGCGCGACGACGAGAGGGTTCGCGGCCGGTGTCTGCGGTGCGAGAGGGACGTCAAGACGCGGTGCCCCGCGTGCGACGAGGCCGGCTACTGCTCAAAGGACTGCCGCAGACGACGAGGCGTTCCACGCCGAGGTGTGCGGCCTCCTGGATGCCATGGAGGAAGGCACGCGGCCGTCTGCCGCGCATCGCCTGCTCATCTGCTTCGCGCCCGACTACGCGACGCCCTTTTTCCTCTGGGTCAAGACGCACTTTGACGCGACACACGGCAACCTGTCGTTCCTCTTTGACGGCGACAGCCTCGTCACGGCGTGGGCCGAGGGGCACGGCCTCGCGACCCGCACGTGGATGGTGCCGCTCGCCGCGCAGCGCTTCATCTTCCCGCACCCGCTGGGCCACGGCGTCGGGCTCGTCGGCGCCGCGCCACCCCACGACGACGCCGCACCGCGCGACGTCAACTGGGCGGTGCAGTCGCTGGGCAAGCCGGGCCACGTGACGCCCGTGTTCGGCCCCGTGCTCGCCTTTGCCTACGCCACCGACGACCACGGCAGCTTCGTCGCCGTCGCCGACGCCTCGCTGCGCGACCTCACGCACGCCATCGACGCCCTCCTCCAGGCCCCCTGCCACGCCGCCCCGCCGGCCCCCGACCGCGCCCGCCACCGCCACCAGCCGGCCCTCAAGTTCGCCGACCCGGCGTCGCCGTGGCACCGAGCGCTTGGCGCGCCGCCCGTCGAGATGGCGACGCTGCCGTGCTGGAAGAGGGGGTTTCCGCTCACCGTGCCCTTTAGCCTCGGCCTGCGCTGGATCGTGCACCCGGCCGTCGTGCCGCGCGGTCTGCGCGCCTCGACCGTCTGGGGGCCCGACGCGCTGTCGAAGCTGTTTGGGAGCGTCGTCATCGTGCGCCAGGGCCAGGGCCAGGGCCAGAGCCAGGGCCAGGGTCGTCGCGGCGGTGGTGGCGCTTTGCGGGGCGAGATGGTCTTCCAGCGGCTGCTGTTCTGGCACGGGTTTTCCGTGACCAAGACGTACGGCGGCGTCGTCCATCCTGTTCATGTCGAGGGGCTGCTGGCGTACCTCGCCTTTGCGCAGCGGCTTGCGCGCGGTGCCACGGAGGGTGGGTTTCGGGGCTGGTGGGAGGATTGGAAGGATGGGCTTGTCGCGCAGGGGAGAGAGGTGGCGGCCCTGGTGAGCCCGTATTTCGACGAGGACGAGCCGAGACATCCGCGCTCGTTGGATATCGAGACGGAGAGCCTGCTGGCGTTCCTCAAGAACAAGAGGGAGTGTGATGCGGAGAGCATCGAGGACGTATACGGCGATTTGGTCTTCTGACGGTCTCTGGGTGCATCCCAGGGACGGGGCATTTTGTAGTCAGAAATCGGCATGCGAAGGTGAGATCTGATGCGACTTGGACGGGCGGGGACTAGCTAAGGAACCTCGTTCGCCCAATGGTATGATGAGCATGAGATGATGCATGGCCGACTCGGGTATGGAAATCGAGTACGTCAGTGATCCTCTTTCCTCCTGTGACGCCAGCTGCCATCTCCTCGATGAGCTATTGCCATCCTTCCCACCGTCGTAAGAACAACGCAGCCCCACGGCTTCCCGGCCGAACGGCTGCCTCAGTAGATATCAAACACCTCATGCGGAGGTTCCTCCTCTAGAAACTCCCCCTCCATAATCCCAGCCACGTACGAATCCCCCTTGAACACAAAACCACCACCATGCCTCTGCCCCAGCACGACCGGCGCCGGCGCATTCCAAACAAGCGACAAGACGTCGCCGGCTTGCACGCCGGCCCAGCAGATGCCGAGGCGGCCGCCTTCTGTCCAGAAAAAGGTCCGCCCGCGCAGACACGCCGCCCAATGCCGCCGCAACGCATCTGCAAACTCGGCAATGTTCTCGTCCGTCAGGGCCGCCTCCGCGGGCGCCGAGCGCCAGTAGCCGTAAATGTCGTCCCGGAACAGGGCGGCCTCTGTGTCGTCGAGGGCATCGGCAGCGATCGGATGGGCGAGCAGCATCCTGCTGACGAGCCGGAACACCTTGGGCTCCTCTATGCGGGCCATGTGCTCCACCGACACGGGGTCCATGGCCGTGACGGCTGTAGCGAGGGCCGACACGGTGGCGCCCCAGTCGGGATTCGGTTTCGACGCCTCGTCGAGGCGGGCGAACGCCTCGACGGCGGACCAGTCGAGATCGGGGTGACACAGTTCGCAGAGCTCAGGCGGCGTGCACTTGTTGCAGGGCCTGCCCGCCGGGGGGCTCAGCACCTCGGCAACGACGTCGACGCGGCATCCGCCCTGGCGCAATAGCCCGCTGTCGGCGTCTCCTGGTTGCTCTGTTCCCTCCTGACCTGGCCCGCCTCGTGTGGCGTCGCACCACCCACCGAACAGCCCCTGGTGTCGGACGGCCTTTTGAGGGGTTCCACGCATGCCCATGGCCTGCCAGTCAACGACCCAAGACGGCAAATCATCAGATGCTGCCGCCCTCGGCACCACAGAGTCGAGGCCGAAGCTGCCGTACGCCGAGTCGCCGTGCATGATGAGGGCCCTCGTCAGCATGGCGAAGACTTGGGCACGCGTCTTTGTGTAGTCGACCTGTAGGCCGAGGGCCTCTCCATCCGAGACGATGCCGAGAATGGCGAAGACGACATCTCGCGGGTCCGTCACGGCGTAGTAGGGCCTCCCCGGCGCCGGGTCGCGAATGTACAGAATGTCGAGCAGCATCAGGGACACGCCTGCGTGATAGTCGGAGCGGGTGTTGAGGGCGCGGACGTCGAGCATCTGCTCGTCGATGGCGGCGGCAAAGGCTCGGTAGCGCGGCAGGGCGGGACGAAAGGTGCGTTTGCAGGCCCAGATGACGCCGAGGGCGGCGTTGAATAGAGGCAGAGACAGCGTGGCGTTGCCGCAGGCGATGACGGCGTGACGGGGTACCGTGACTTCTTGGATGATCCACATGCGCGTCCAGTAGTCTCGCTCGAGCATGTCCTGGATGCCGCGTTGCGTGGGCGTGGGCTCGCCTGTTGCTTCGTCTGCGTACATGTCGGGGTCTGCAAGGAGCGTCTGGTAGAAGGATGCCACGGCATGCTCCTCGTTGGTACTGCCGAGGTTGCTTGGGGAGTCGGGGATTTCGAGGCGATTCTTGATGATATCTGCCACTTCACCTGCCCTGCCGACTTGGAGCAACAATGCTGGTGCACCACATGCCTCGGCTGCCTGACCGAGGTGCGCGAGGGCGTCGAGGGCCGCATCCGTGTTGGCGTTGCCTGGCCCCAGCCAGAGGTGAACGACGGCAGCTTGGACATAGACGGTACGCATGAGGCCGATCTGCCACCGTTTCTCGTTGGCGTCGGTCTGGTTGATGCAGATGGCGTCTGTCCAGAGCCACGAGGTGACGTTCTGGCGACGCAGCTGGAGGAAGAGCCCGTGCAGATTACGACCGATGGCGTATGGTCTGCCGTCGACGGTGGCCTCGAGCGTCTCGCGCATGTCACCCCAGACGTAGGAGAGGGCTCCGTAGTCGGGACTCTCGTCGAGGGAAACATGGCAGAGCTCAAGGGCGATGGGGGCTTCATCAGGGAAGGATCCCGAAGACGGAGCCGCCACGAAGCGGAGGAGTCTGATTTCACGTCGAGCCTCGGACAGAGGACGGTGATGGAACATGGTTTCAATGGGGTTCGATGGGGTTTGCAAGACAGAACGATTGCCGTGATGCTCGTGTGGTGGTGACGTGCGCAGTTCGCCTAGGAGGGTGTGGACGAACTGATGGAGAGTTGTCTGGATACCAAAGGCTAGCAAGGGTCGTTGCTGGATTTCACAGGGAAGATCCTCTCAAGCCATGATGGACCCTCATAGATCTGGAGAGGAGGCATCTTGCTTGACTGCAGCCATCGTATTGATGGTGGTTGTGGTGTTTGAGGATGATGTGTCCAGGCTGAGGGCTGCAAGAAGTTGTCTAGAAAACCGGCTGTACCTGCCTTACCTGCCTCCTAAGGTGGTACCTAAGATAAGGGAGCCACAGGTTAAGCCACGGGTTAAGCCACACTCCCAATCCGCCAAACACAGTGTCATCCAGACCGAGCCCTGACTTTATATTCTCTCAATGCCTCGCGTCTCAGGTAAACGCTCTGAGATTCAGACTACTAGATGAGCGGCAGTAAAAGTAAGTATGTTGCTACTTTGATAGTTTTGAGCTGCCATAGAATAGAGTATCGCGGTTCAAAGTAAGCTCGCCTTTTAGGACTGTGGCTTTTTTGGCACCCCCGTGCTGAGGTACCACCTAGGTACCTAAGGCAAGTAAGTAGGCGGGCAGGATCATCATCAACAACGGCCAACCCAGCCTCTGGACACCTATAGTACACCAGCTAGGCCGTCTCCATAGGCGTAGCAGGGCCCAAAAGGAAGCAACAAAAGGTAATGATGAGGACGAGACTCGAACTCGCGCGGGTTGCCCCACCAGGAAATCTAGTTAAGGTAGACCTTAACCTGGCGCCATAACCAACTCGGCCACCTCACCGATCGATGAACATTAAAATTGGCAGCTAGACTGATAATGGCGCATCGCTGTGCACCAGACGGCTCAAGTCTCTCATCTTGCCACAAACCCCTACCGAACGATGGTGCAGCCTTGGTGCAAGGCGAGCGTGCGCTTTCCATCTTGTTGATGCATCGCCGAATCCCACCCTTGGACGTAAGACTTGAATGCTTCTTGATTGTCTCCCGCGTTGCCTCATCCGTCTCGCAAGCCCGCGCGCGAGCTGCTACTCCCATCTGTGCTCGCCCTGTTTTCCTTGTTTCTCTTGATCAGCCTGGTCCATCTGCTCCCCTTCTTCGAGCCCCAGCCAGTCTTGGACTCGGACGACTTGCACGGGACCAACACCTCCTCCATGTACAGATCGTAGACGCCATCGCCGACGTACTTGTTGCGATACACCCACGCCGTCTTGACGTCGCCGCCCTGCCCGACCGTCAACGACATGCTGCCCTTGCCCTTGTCAAACCGCCCGCGCCTCCTCCTCCTCGCACCACCGAGCATCGGCCTCAGCACCTCGGCCTCGGCGACCGGTCCGCCCTCGGGCACGACGACCCTGTGCGCCGTCAGCGCCGCCGCCGTGCCGAGCACGAGCTGCAGCCCCGCCGTCAGCACCATGATGAGATGGATCATGTCCCAGTGTTCCATGTTGAGCTTCTGCCCGATCGTCGGCGCGTCGCCCCACACAAAGAGCGCCGTGTTCGACTGCGCCGCCATGCCGAGCACGCCAATGGCGAACCGTGACATGAGCAGCGCCAGCGCATCGCTGCTGCCGCTCATCGGCGTGCCCCAGTACGTCGCCGCCGGATACACAATGCCCTGGACCTGCAGGTCCTCGTCTGCCGCCGTCGTCGAGTAGCCTTGCAGCGCCACGGCCATGGCCACCATCCAGACGAGGTCGTCGCCGAGCGCGTGTTCAGGCAGCGAAGCGTTCGTTGGCGTCCCGACCGTTGTGTTACACTCGTAGAGCCACGGCGAGGACGATGATGCTTCAAACACGGACACGCTCCCACACGTCGGCCCGCATGGTGCCATTGTGTCGGTGAAGAAAGTCGACTGGTCGCTGCCACCGAGTACCGGCAGCGTGACGTTGCGCGCGCCGCCGCGGCTGCTGCTGTCGGCGATGGTAATGTTCTCGAAGAGGCCGTCGCCGCCTGACGTGACGCGATAGCTGCGGCATATCGTGTCCACCCGCACGAGTCGGTTCGTCACGGCCGTGATGGGGAACGAGTCTGGGTCGAGGGCCGACTTGGTGTTGACCTCGTGAAAGGCGTAGATGCATCCCCCGTCGTCACAGAAGAAGAGCGGATCGTCGCTTGAATACAGGTCACCCGGCTGTGGGATTTGGTCGATGGTCGCCGTGTCGTACGCCAGTGACACGCTGCCGAGGCTTTGGCCGTCTGTTAGCTCTAGCCTGCTACGAGGGAGCTGCACCACATCAAGCAGAGGGAAACAAAATACCTGTTGGCTGTGTACTCCTGTGCACGCTGCGAGTTGCTTCCGTTGGCCACCTTTGTCGTCTCAATGCTCGACATGTCGGGGATCGAAACGTTGCCGCGCACGAGCAGCGCCTTGTCCTCGGTGCGCTCGACGGAGTAGCACAAGCCGATGGAGGCGATGCCAACTTGGGCCCCGATGATCAGCAGCACCCACAGTGTGACGACGACGTGAATGTTGGACCTTTTCGATCTCGACGCCAGACGGATGACGCGCGAAGTGCTGTGGGCATGTAGAATGTGCTCGACCTTGTGCTGAGATCGCGCCCTCCTGCTGAGGATCCACCACCGCATGTCATCGCACATGCCTGTGAGGAAGCTGGCCGTCGACAGGCCCAGAGTGATGAGCAGACCCGTGATGAGCGCGTTGAACTGGCGCTTCTTCGTCGTCGACATGACGGGTCGATCGACCGAATAAGAGATCAGCACGGCGTACACGGCGACAATGAGTGCCACCGTGACGATCCACTTGCCGAGAACACGGGCGAGGACCCTGACCTTGGAGGCCTTGCGCGCCGCGAGGCCCTTGAACTCGTAGAGCTGCACGTCCTCTGCTTCAGGCAGCGACGCCGTGTCGGAGTCTGGCTGTCGCGGGGGTGGCGCCATGGAGACAGATGGCCGGTAGAGAGGGTCGACATTGTGATCATGTGGCGGGCTCACCTGCCGCGCCGCGTGCGGTTGATGCTGGAGAAACGGCTGCACAGCATGGTGCTCCGTGCCAGCCATCGTTGTGTACCTAGGCGGGAACAGTGCTATGTCGGTGACGGTCGTTGTCGCCCCGACTCGCCCGTACGTCTCGCGCCCGCAGGTAGGCCAGCCCTTTAGTAAGTCTCCCAGATTTTCCTACATCGTCTGAGAGACGCTCGGGTCTCCGCTCGGGCCTGGAATAAACTTTGGTCGGAGAGCCATGGTCCGCTGCCTACTTGACGCAGATCGATACGCGACGTTGCGCCGCGCAGGAAGAGGGCTGAGACTAGCTCAGCAACGAATGCGGCATACCTTGTGCGAAGGGAGGGGCCGGGAGCACGGGCATCACAGCACAGCGCGCTGGGGGTGGCCTCACTCGGAGTGCTCCACATCGAATGACGCTATATCCCATTCATCTCGCTCACAGAGCTCAAGTCAGACGGCTCCAGGGCGCGTTCCGAAGATCCCCTGTCCTGGCCTGGATCGGCCGCACCGAGGCAGCGAAGAAGCACGGGCTCAGCCGGGCGGGACAATGTGTCACCCCGGCGCCGCGTAAGCGTGAGGACGAATGGTTTCTTGGAAGGTCTTGGAGCCGCATCTGTGGGTATCGAACCGTCACTGGCATGTCTAGACCTCGGTGCCTAATCAACAGAGCGAGAGCGCTCGCCGACAGAGCGAGAGCGCTCGCCGACGGTTTCGTTGCGAGAGAGGCTGTCTGTCGGGTTTCGGAAAGGAGACGGGGTTCATCAAGGGAAACCTTGGACGGACAATGGAGCGGCTTGCAGTGTTTGCCAAGCCTCCTGACTCAACCAGCATGCGCTGTCCCTAGTTGACGACATGGGCTTCGTTCGGACGCTCGTATGGTTTGATCTCGCATTGGGTTCTGGTCAGTCAGCATGCCTGCCAGTTTGACTGTACCGAGACCAAAAGAGGTTCTGCGACGTCTCATGCTGATGATCCATTTACGCCGTGAGGCCAGGGAGGGAGGGTAAGGGTAAGAAAAAGAGCATCTCAAATTTTGGTCGTCATCTCCAGGCTAATTCTAGGCAGACACGGGCTTGCCGAGCATCGTGAGAACCGGCGCCATCAAGCTTAGAAAAAATACCTACCTAATGTACTTACCTACCTAATGTACTTACCTAATATACTTACCTACCTACCTTAGGTACCTACCTAGGTACAGTAGCTAGGTAGGTAAGTGTTGCCGATCAGGCAAGGTTCTGTTCTGTGACCCAGGAGTACTTTCATCCCAAATGTGGAGTCCTCATTTGATGCATTTGTTCTGTCGTTATCGCCCCGGTAAGACTCCTTACCGATGCTGGATCTGACCAATTACCTTCGTTTGGACTTCTGGAAGTCTCCTTTTGTACCTTAACAACAATCAATCCACTTTGTTCAATTCCGTGGTGACAGTTATGAGCCCGGGCGACGATACAGCTCCTTGACCTTCGATATCTACAGCAGGGCGCCTACGGCCAATACGCCTGCTGCGAAGCTGTCTACAGCTGAATCGCCGCTGCACTTCAACAGTCAATTGACGCGACGTTTCGCCATTGACGACCACTGGCCAAGGGCCGTTACCGACATCCTCCAGGAGAGCGATCATCTCTCCACGACACATCGAAGCAGGAGAAATCAGCTCCTCAAGACCAATTGAACCTCCGAGACGTGTGGCCTAGGGCTTGAGTACACGCGGGGTCAATTGATGATATTCAACATACACGCGATCAGTCGCGACCATCGAACGACCTCCCCGACGGTCTCCGACAACGCCCAGGGATCCTCAAGATGGACTCTGGTAAGCACAGAGTGACACTTACAAGGAGGGAGGAATGGAGGACATGGCTCAACTCCGTCAGAGCCGTGGCGACCTCCTACGAGGCCTGGGATCTAGTCGACCCAGACAAAGAGGCTGACAGGCGGCCCAAGAGGGCCAAGAAGCCAACAGCACCGTCATTCGAAGATGAGACGCGAGATCTCAGCACACTGCTGACGTTGTACAAGATCCATTTGGACATCTACAACAGGGAGTCAGCGGGCCTCCAGGAGGTCCAGAAATACATCCTCAACACAGTCGACAGGAGCCTTTCGGCCGTCTTCATGAACGAGGAAAGCAGCCAGGAGTGGCTCAAGGCGTTGAAGGACCACTTCGCCCCTTCCGACATGGGACAGAAACAATACATTCGCCAGCGCTGGGAGGAGCATATGGCGATGATCAAGAAGATGGACCATGAGAAGTGGGTTGACGACTTCATCCTACTCTGTATCGAAGTTGAGAAGCACGGGATTCCTCAGCTTAAAGAAGCCGCAGATCAAAATGTTCAATTCCTTCGGGCAATTCTTTCCGTGTCTCCAGGGTGGGCCGAAGCAGAGTGCGCCCACCAAGTTCGCCGGGAGCTGGATGATCGTGATGGAGGGAAGGTACTGGCGTTGAGGTACAAGAGCTACCTTAGAGACTACCAACCGCATCGCCTCACCACCAAGCCATCTCAGACGTCCTTCTACAGCGACTCGGTGACCTTCATGGGCAAGGACCGGAATGGTCAAAGTGATCGGACGAGTGCCCAGGATTCCCATCGTGACTCTCCTCAACAGCCAAACAGCTCGCCTTCTCGCAGACCATTCTGCGACTGTGTACAGCAGAAGAGGGCACCCAAGGCGTGTCAGCCCATCTGTCTGTGCCCAAATATCGCGGAACACCGGAGGAAGAAGAGCTATCAATCCGATCAGAGCCTGCTGGACTACATTGACGAAGCGAAGAAAAGGATGAAGCCAAGCACATTGCAATTCTGGAACGAGAAAATCAAGGAGGACAAAAAGAAGCGGCAGGAGGCAAGAGGCACCAGTGGAGTCGCCGTCTCTGCTTTTAACAACTTCCTCGGTGACGATGATGAACAGAGCTGCGATGACGAGTACACCAACTTCATGAGCAACTTCTCCGTCGCTGATTCGGACGAGTTTCAACGGACAAACCGAGGAGGGGATCTCCGTCACGAGTTCCTGATCGACTCGGGTACACCCAACCATATAACCAACAACAAAGACCTCCTCACCAACTTTCGCGAGGCCACCGACACTGTAAGATACAGCACAGGAGGAGGCAAATCAAGCCCCGTCGAAGGGCATGGCACGATGGCCATCGACACCCTCGACAGCAAGCAGAACGTCATCAGCATCACCTGCCATGATGTCTCGTACATCAAAGACTACCCGACGACGCTTATTTCAGCCAGGCAGCTCCAACGCCAAGGACTCGGACTGGACTCCCTCAGGAACATGCTGTTCAACCCAGCCACTGGCTCAGAGATCCCACTTCAGGAGAAGGGTGGCCAGTATGCGGTGAACACCCTACATAGCACCACTTCCTTCTATCACTCCAAGAAGCAGAGAGCCGCGATGGTCAGCGACTCGAGGCTCTGGCACGAACGGCTGGCTCATGCCCACCCAGAGGCCATACAGCAGCTGCCATACAGCTGTACTGGAGTTGGGGTGAAAGGGCCAACAACATTCGAATGCGAGTCTTGCGGGGTAGCGAAATCCAAGAAGATTGTATCTCGGAGACAGCCAACGTACACGACGACGAATCCATTTGAGCGCGTCAACCTGGACTTCTTCAGCCCTGGGAAGTCGTACAACGGCATGGAGTCGTGCCTTGTAATAACGGACGCATATTCGGGGAAGATTGTTGTCAGGATTCTGCCTGCCAGAGCAGATGGCTTCCAGGCGTTTATCAACTTTGAGATGTTTCTCTGGAGACAGTACCATCTGGTCATCAAGGTCCTGAGAGTTGACTGGGACTCAGCACTACGCAGCAATCTGGTTACTTGGTCAGAAGAGCGCGGCATTCTCTTGGAGAGATCAGCCGCAAGGACACCAGAACAGAACGGTGCCGCAGAACGCAATGGAGGCACGATATTCACCATCGCAAGAACCCTTACCTCGGCTGCTGGGTTCCCGGAGGATTTGTGGCCAGAGGTGGTACAAACCGCTGCATATCTCCACAATCTCACGCCGAAGGGACGCCTACAGTGGGCGACACCAGAAGGAAGGCTGAACGACTGGCTCAACTCCAAGGGCCTTGCCGCTCGAACTACGGCTCCAGGCCTGGCTCACCTGCGAAGATACGGATGCAGGGCGTATCCTCTCACGGCAGACGCCCAAGAGGGACGTAACCGAAAGCAGAAGCTGGCTCCGAGAGCCCACATCGGCTATCTCTGTGGATACGACAGCAGCAACATATACAGAATCTGGGTTCCAGAGATGAAAGCAGTATTGAGGACAAGAGACGTGGGTTTCGATGAGTCCACAGTTTTCAAGGACGCCCAATCCCCAAAGCCAATTCTACAGGACGAATTCCAGGCTTTGGACGTGCCCGTTGCGGACGCCCAGAATCCTTTCAACTCGTCACTGGACATTGACGAGTTCGATGTTGCCACCATCGACCTGTTCGAGAAAGCCCGGACATTCCAACTTGGAGGAAAGATCAACGCGGAGATACTGCGACCCCGGGAAGGTCACACAGCCAGCAGAGATGATGTCCTGCCGTCACCACGTCCAACTCCAGAGACGGAGACTGGACAAGGCCAGCCAGCTGTCTCTGAGGGGGTGGAAGATGCCGTAATAGACACCATTCAAGGGGCTGAAGATGCTGTGGAAGACACGATCCCCGTGCCAGACACCATTCAAGTGACTGAAGAGGCTATTGAAGACACTATCGAAGTAGCTCGGAGCCCTGAATCAACACCTCAACACACACCAGCTGATCAAAGTTCAGCTGAAGACGAGACAGAGACTGTGGAGGCCCGACCATCAGTGGCACCAGCCCCACAGCCGTCGCCATCAACACAAATCCAAGGCACTCGAAGGAGCGCTAGAGACAGAAAGCCGTCACAGTTCAAAGACGGCACCCCCACCGACCAGGCTCTAGGAGCCCGCCGCAGCAAGAAAATGCCTCCATCATCACATTTGACCGTGGAATACTCATTCTTTCACACTCAGACTCCATCGAACAAGAAACCGCTTCTCCGAACAGATATGCC